CACCATCGCGGAGGACCACTACATTGTTTGTCGTCCTTTCCTCCTGCTCTCATGACATCATACTTGGCTGGGATTTCCTATCGCGTAATCACGCCTTTAAAGATTGTGCCCGTTCCGAACTTGAACTGCTCCCATTGTTCGACCAGCTCTACGACCATATGCATGAAGCTGCACACAGACTAGTTGTCAGAGAAGACATCGACATTCCACCGACAGCAGCTGTTTTGCTCCCTGTGTTTTTTGACGGCATGTGTGATGAAGTCGCACTCTTTGAGCCATCAAGCCCCTTTCTAAGTCGGAAACCACTTCTCCCTTATTCGGTCCTCTTCATTTCGAATGGAGCCAGTGCTCTCTGCCTCACTAATGCCTTTCCGTATACCATCAAACTGTTTAAAGGCGAATTTCTTGGATGCGTGCAGCCCATTTATAAGGGACAAATATTTACTGTGCGCAAAAATCATGCCGAAGTGACCTAGCCACCGTCAGTTCCCTTAACCACTCCGATGTACAGGCTTCGAAAGTATTAGATTCGTCTATTGCAGACGGACTGTCACCATCTGAACGATCTGATCACCTCCTACGGCTCAACCAGTTTCGCAAATCTCTCGATGTTGTTCAACATGCACTTGGCCGCACTACTATCACGCTTCATTATATCGATACCGGCTCCCGTGTGCCACTTCGACGACGACCATACTGTGTTTCCGCGGCAAAACGCCAGGTCGTTACCGAATAGGTGAACAATAGGCTGCAACGCGGCGTCATTCAACCTTTACAAAGTCCATGGGCATCACCTGTAGTGCTCGTTAAAGAAAGGATGGTTCCATTCGCTTCTGTGTGGATTACCGGCGCCTTAATAAGATCACTCGACAGGACGTGTACCCTTTATCCATGATTGATGATGCCCTTGATACTTAACAAGGCGCCGAGTTTTTTTCATTGCTAGATTTGCGTTCAAGCTTTTGGTAGGTGCCCCTTGCAGATGCTGATCAATCAAAAACAGCCTTCGTGACACCTGACGGTCTATATAAGTTTAATGTCAGTGCCCTTGGCTCTCTGCAATGTATTTGCCACTTTCGAGCGCATGATGGACTCGGTTCTTGCGGGTTTGAAGTGGCGAATATGTCTCTGCTATATGGACGATATTGTTGTCCTTGCGCCAGACTTAGCAACACATCTCGAACGCCTGAAACACGTCCTCACGTGTCTGAAGAATGCTCACCTCCAACTAAATTTCAAGAAGTGCCACTTCACTGTGTGGCAACTTACGATTCTCGGTCACGTCGTATCAACGGACGATATACTTCCAGACCTGGCTAAATTACGTGGTGTCACCGATTTCCGCAAATCAATGACTGTGAAGTAATTTTAGAGCTTCGTAGGGTTATGCTCATACTTTCGCTGGTTTGTGCGCAACTTCGCCTCTATTATTGCACCTTTGACCAAACTTCTAGGCAGCGCCACTGATATTTCGTCATGGTCTTCAGAGTGTGACCAAGCCCTACTCTACCCTTCGCCGTTTCCTCACTTCATCAGTATTGTGTCACTACGGGAACTGAGGTCCACACCGACACCAGCGATGTCGGCCTTGGTGCGGTTCTCGCGCAATGCAAGCCGTATATTTTAATATTTCTCCTCAGTAAAACACACCCCTCCATCAGAATTTCGGAGGAGAAAGGGGGAAGTGGTTCTGTTGTGTTTGCACGTACTTGCAACGTCAATGCAAGCCATGTCCTCGCAGTTAGACTTCCTATGAAAGGGGGACGAGGATCAAATTAAGATGCTGACGGTCTTGGTAAGGGTGCTTGGGCTCTTAGCGTCAATATGCAAAATTTATGGGGACGCGCACATCTGCCAACTCCAATTTTGAGCAAACCTCTCGATTGCTCACGAGCGACCGTAAATCTTCTGAAAAACAACACCAGTAAGAAATAAGAAACTAAGAAAATTAAAGGAGAGCGGTTCTAAAATTTTCTGGACTTTATCTACCCCTCACGCATAGTGCTCCTTTAGACCTTTGAGACGCTACGTACACAATTGTGTACACCACTCGTTCTTGTTGTTTGCATCAAGTAGACGCTAAGGCAGAGTGAGCTTTATCGTAGTTTGCATGAATTGAACCTCCTGCATAATAAATTTAACTTCATTTTGTAATGTACCGATTTGTATGATCACTTTCTTGAAGGCACCACCACATTCGATGAGTCGTGCGATGTGCTGCTTCCTGCAAGCATAGTGAAAAGCAGAATTTTTGTTGCTCGAAATTGACATAACCGAAAATGAATCTGCATTGTATTCCTAGTCTGAGATTTGATTCTGTTTATTCCAAAAGTAAGCCTGAATGACTTCAGCATAAAGAGATATTTAATTACAACCTAATTATAACAAGTTACTATAACACACATAAACTCAAGAATTATTTTATTATTATTGTTGCAAAAAAATAGTGAGTGCCTCGGAGCAAGGTTATAGTGATTTGACACATCTACAGACAGTTCTTCGTAGATGGCATCTGGTATGGTCTGTCATTTTCGCTGCTGTACTTTGGTGTCATGTGAAAAAGTGTAGTAAGATTCGGAAGGGACTACCAGCTGCCATGGATCACAACACATGTGGTTCAGTAATCAAACAAGCGTGCACGTGCCGCATATTTGTGAGTACCTGTGGCGTACTGGACAATCTAAAAACCTTACTGTCATTTATTCAGAGCTGCTTATGACATTGCTGTAGCACTGATAAAAAATAAACGAAAACAAATGCCAAGTTTATTTTGTTGCAAACTAATTTGATGTTTTGTGGTGATACGAATTAAGGATCATGCATACATTTCTGCAAGATTTGTATCACCGAGGTTTCACTGTATTTGCCATCCAAGATTCTGTTTAGCGAGACGGGTTTTTTGAGCAGCAAATGGTGGGGGCTCAGCTCTGTACGCTAGCTGCATGCGTGCTTTCAGAACTGCGTGGATGCCATGATCATGTTTTTAGCAACTGCAGTTTCGTCCAGAATGCAGGCAGCACTTGGTAATTTCCTTTTTACTTCAGGCAATGTGCACGGAATGTCGGATGTCAAACATGGTGTGAGACGTCGCATGTGACGAGCTATAGCCATGGTTCACATGATGGCATAAAGGTCGCTGACCACATTGTGATGGACGAACCATCAGAACCATCAGTGCCAGTCGTTTTCCGACGAGAAATCGTCACATGTGCATCTTGGTGTTGGTGGTTTGTGGTGCATTGGTTCAGAGCACGGTTCAGCTTAAGACACAGTGGTCTTGAGCCATGGTCAAATTGTGACTAAAGTTGCGAGGGATGAAAATTGCGGCTTCTACACTGCTATTATTATTAGTACTAGATTTGTTTATTTGGAAAGAAAATGAAGATGCATTGATGTAATACACATTTGCTTATTGTTTTCTTGATGTACTTTTGATAATTCAGCATTGAGTTAATGCAGACATTTTTCCGGTCCTTTGTAATCTAATTAACAAGCTTTTACTGTACTATGGTTGAATTACTGGGTTCTATCACACATGCTTTATACTGAAAAAAAATATATAAAAAGCTATATGTTAAGATTAAGCGAAGAAATGGAAATCCACTAGTTATTGTCCTGTTGTGAAGATCTCCCTTTCGGCTGCTCACAGTCACAAGCCTCAAACATGCGAAATAGATGTTACGCAGCTATTTTAAAAGGGTGCTGCAACACCTTTTGAGCATGATCAGACAGCTCTACCGATCGGTAGTTGAGGCTCCCGGGAACACGCGAGCCGGATATTACAGCGCAGCATGCGGCCGCCTGAAATTCACAATAAATTGCCAAAGTCAGCTAAGAATTGCTTTCTCTTCTCTTGCAAATGACGGAAGAAGCTCAAAAATCACACATCATAGCCATTGTATCAGCCATTTGCTGATTTAAGCGTGGCGCGCTCTCTCGTTACTATGGCTGCCGCTGAAGGCTGCGACTTGTCATCTCGTGCACGGGTGGTCGCACTGAAAAGTCGCAGATTCAAAGAAAAAAAAAATAGAGAAAAAGTGCTCAACTGTCACCAAGGTGCGCGTGATGTATTTTATTTGTTCGTGCTGTTCCTCCCTGCTCAGCTTTCAGTGCTTTCGTCGGGACTAGAGAAGGGAGAACGTAATTGCAGTGTGCAACACATATTTGCAACTTTTCTCGTACTCGATGGATTCTGAAAAAGTTTGAGGTGGTGAATTAGAAAATTCATAAGCTCTTATAGTTCATCCATTTCATGGCTATTCAAAAATGTGTTGCAGGGCCCCTTTAATCCTCCAAAGTAACTTTCCTTTGATATAGTTTTCAAAATAAAAGCACTGCATCCCCATATGCACTTCATTTGGAACAGATATGGTGCACATAGGTCACGATTGTGCAGGAACTGAACCAACACAAACTCGTAACAACATTTGCTCAGTCACCATTTTGTGATGACACTGTCACTGCATCTGGCGTTGGTGACCGGAGACAGTTGCGAAGGCTGTAAACATGATTTAAGTTTTGTACTCTTGTTCTAATACTCAGGTAATTTCTGAACGCGTTTAATCTGAAAGAAGTTGTGCATTAGATTGGAGTATATGTGGTATATCTTTAATGTCTAGTGCAGTATATGTAGACGACACCATCAAACAGGGAAAGCAGTGTTCTTCTGTGTCTCTTGTGTTCATGTCTGTATTTGCACACCCTACACTGAACGCTGCAAAAAACTGCTCACATTACATTCGAGCCTCTTTGTAAGACCAAGATGGCCAAACATAAATTTCAAGCCCTGAGCATTTTCAGTGTGGAGTTTGGCATGACAAGAGGTGCTGCGTGCGCTGTGCATAATTGGCAGCCTTTGTATCTAGTGTAGTCGTGGCTATGCAGCATTCACACCACGTGTATTCTGCCTGTCAGTTGTATGGATGGCTGTGCTTTGTTGCCTTCTAGCATGTCCTGATGCCTCATCTCATTGAATTGCACTGCTTCTTTCTACGTTTCAGGCCACAAGAAACCACTAGGAAGCACCGATGCGTTGCTAGACTGCCAGCAGATGACCGGCCACATAGGAAAGAACGCATCATCGAAGTCGGTGCTGGCAAGCGAAAATTCTGTGCAACCATCTTCCATCAGTCTACCATCTTTACCTGCCAAAGAAGCAACAATCAACGGTGCTCTTCATTTGAGTGAAAAAAGTGATGGCAGCCTGAAGGTAAACGGGGCCACTGTTTCGAAGGCTGTCGTGTCAAGGACTCGAAATCAGCAGCGATCGGAGAACAAAACACTGGCAGCTGCAAGCAAATTGTCCGAGGCACAGCCTGCCGAAAAGGTGGAGACAGAACAAGAACAAACATTGCCACTGTGCCCATCCGCACTAAGGAGCTCTTCACCAAAGCTTGCCGAAGTGGCTTGTTCCGATGATGCTAGTAGTGTCGGCAATATTGAGTCGTGTGAGGCAGTAACTCCCAAAACAGTCAACAAGGCGAGTGAGGTTGTGTCGAGCAAGTCAAGCCGAACAGAGTGTGTCAAGGATGTAGAAACAAAGGACCCCGTTCCAAACACCAAGGAAGTTCTCATTTCCGCGTCTTCCAGAAGGGATAGGAGGCATCCAAGGAGACTACGGTGTGTTAAGGCATGTTCTGCCAATCTTCCTTCTCTGCCAGAAGGTGTAAGTGCAATGAAAGAGGAAAAAGTGAGCGAACCGCTCGAAGAAACTGCCAGCACTCTTCCCGTTGTTGTGGAAGAGGAGGAAGTGAAACCAACTGAAGAAAGTCTACCTGAAATAGTCAACGCTGAAGGGAATATGCTTGGACTGGAAGCACCAGAAATGGGCATGCCAGACTTCGTAGTTTCAGAATTCATTCCACCAGAAGATGTTCAGTCAGAGGTGATGGAAGTCGAAGTGGTTCAGGCAGAGGTGATTCCACAAGAAGTGGTTCAGACGGAACTGATTGACACAGAAGTTGTTCAAGCAGAGCCGATGGATTCTGAAATGCTCGAACAGGAGGTGCTGCTCACAGACGTCACTGTTCATGAGGTGGCTCAACCAGAACTAAGCCACCTTGATGTGGACCAGTCAGAGATTAGTGAAGTTGACATCACTGAGCAACCACCCGAACTGCAGCAGATGGTTCCCCATTGTGAAGAGGAGCCTTTTGTGCAGATATTGGACACTGCCATACTGGAAGCACCTATGGTCACTGTACTGCCAGAAAAAGCACACCATGCGAATAGTAACTTCATTTGTCGGGAGAAGAAGGAGAAGGTGAAGAAGGAAGCGCCAAAAAGAGAGCACAAAGTCGAAACAGAAACGAGACGTGTGCCTCGCTTGCGCGTCATTTCTTCCAAGAGGCTGCCACCACAGCCTGCGAGCCAGACCGTGGCACAGTCGGGCGCCCAATCACAGCACCTTGGTTGCCTAAAGTTGACAATACGGCGACTACATCCGCACGCACGCGGTGACACGTCGCCTGTGTCGACAGCACGCCGTCGGACTGTGTATGAGGTTCTGTCGCCGCCGCTTTTGTCGCCAGAGTCGCCTCGAAAGAAGAAGAAGAAGAAGAAAGACAAAAAGAAAGCAAGTGAACACCGAAAGCACGCACGCAGGCGAGAGGATAAACGATCCCCTGTGGCAGTTGGAGCCAAGCGTATTCGGCTCATCGTGGGCAACGATGCAATTGATATTGACATTCCACCCAACAAGTGTAAGAAACGCTGTTGATCAGCTGCGAGTGACGTGTGAAGTCACAGACTTGGCTGCCATATGTGATGCACTTGGTGTGCGGAACGTTCTGACGACGTTTAAGAAGAAAAAGGAAAAACTAAACTCTTGACCCTTTTTTCTTGACTTTGGGTTCTGCCCACAAGAGGACAAGTGTTTTGCAGCACGCTTTTATGCCTGGCTGTTACTTGTTTTTTGAGGTTTTGGAGTCCTTTTGCAAAAAAAAAAGTGTAACATACGTGTTGTATATAGCATGTGCACTGCCAGTGGTGTTTGAAATGGAAGGATTTTGTTCTGTGGACAACCTTCCGTAGGCCTGCGGGTTTCAGGAAACTGGTTCTCAAAAATGTGCGCTGTCCGATATGTTGTTTTCTTTTACTGATGAACTGTCTGAAGGCGTAATGTGTCGACACAAGAATGGGCACAGAGGTGACGTTTTTGCTCACTGTGCGTTTTACAGTCATGCGGGCATAGTATTCTGTGTCGATCTGTGCATATAGTTGCTTCATTTTTGTTTCGAAGAGTGAAGTGCCCATTACTTTGCACCACTTGTATTTATTTTCCTCTAAATTATTCCGTACCTTCCTTGACTGGACAAAAATAAGCATCATGAAGACATTAGTCGCTAGGAATTTGAAGTTCTTGTACTTAGGGCTGCATTTTTCAAATTAACCTCTATCTTTACTTTGCACGAATATGTGCACCTATGTGTTAGGCCTTCCGGTGAATAAAGTTAAAAACACGCGCATTCGAGGCGACATGTGCCTGCTCTGTTTTAATTGACGGTGCACTGAAGTTGCGATGGTGAATAAAGTGTTTGTTGGGCCCACAGTTGGATGTGCAGGGAGTATTTCTTTTTGATGCTGCTGTGCGCTGCCGTTTGAAGCGGGCTTATGTAAACGTCGTGGTATACCGTGCACGTTGCATGCATTTAGGTAAGCGTCATTTGTCCTGGAGCGATGAGCAAAACCACGAAATAATGCTGTGGGAAGTGTATCCTAGACTGGAATGTGCCCAGAGTAATGTTTCTAGATTTTTTCACTGAAAACCACTAGAAACACACACGTACAGCTTTATAAGCAGCCAGTAGCCAAAAACTAGCCAGGGGATTCCGAAGCCAGAAGCCAAGCCTTTCTATATGAAAACAAAACATGGCCGCCGTCGGAGAAAGTCTGATGCTCGAGAGAGGTAGGTGTGGTTTCTAAGTTCACATGCTTACCTTTCCGAAGAGGTGGTCGAGAAAGGCTAGGTTTAGGGGGAACCTTGAAACACCAGATAAAAACTTGTCACGTGTGTATTGCTCGTTTTCTTGTATGATGTTCGCCTAGCGTACAACCTTGGCTGAAAGACACCTAAATCGCAACTTGACGAGCAGTCATTTCCGCATACCTTTGTTTTGCAGCGTTCCGTGTCTGCGCAATATTTCCCCCTATTTTTTTCCCTAAGATTCGTGCTATTAGCACGTGCAGTGATTGTTTATTTGTTGATTATAAGTAGACTGAACGCGGTACTTGCTTTACAGACATCAAGCGGGCCTGCGAGCTTCTCGAGAAACTTCAGCGCAGTAAGTAACGCTTCAAATGGGAGCACGGGTGCAAGCATGCTGTTACTTTGTTGCAATATTTTATCGTTTTCATCAGGCACGATTGCACTTGCGCGTGTGATGCAGCGGTTTTCTTACTTGCAATGATTTTCTATGTTGCCATCGATGTCCCTGTTGCAACTTCCTCCCTTCGGTGCTCCGAATGTCACCGTCTTCGTCGCGTGTAAAAGCATTTAACTGAAATTCTAGTTCGCTGCAGTTTCGTCAGAACGCTTGATGCCGTCTGCAGACCGTGTTGACTCGAAGTGATGTAGCGCTTGTTTGACAGGTGGCGAAGTCCCAGCGCAGAAGCTCGCTGCCCTACAAAAGGTTCTCCAGAGTGAATTCTGCAACGCCGTGCGCGAGGTTTACGAACATGTCTACGAAACTGTCGACATCTCCGGTAGTCCCGACATTCGAGCCAGTGCCACAGCCAAGGTTTGTGTATTCCGGTTAATAAAGTAAGCTTCTTGGATTATGCTACTGCCGCTGGTTACAGGCATCCGAAGTGACAGACGCTATCCCTTTAAACATATGTAACCAGTCTCTGTGCCTTGTGCTCGGGAATGTGAGATTTAAAGTTTGTGTGTGTCACAGACAACATACCTGAGCCTACCATATCTCTCCTAGATTGCATTAGCTAGCAAACTGACACAGGTTACAAGCACCTGAAGCGACAAAATGTCATCCCTTTAAACATATGTAACTAGCATCTGTGCTTTGTGGTAGTGAGCATGAATTTCGAAGTATGTATGCCTTGCAGACAACATACCTGCATATACCGTACCCTTCCAAAACCAGATTAGGGTGCACGTTAAAGAACCCCAGGTGGTCAAAATTTCCGGAGCCCTCCACTACGGCGTCTCTCATAATCATATGGTGGTTTTGGGACGTTAAACCCCACAAATCAATCAAATCAACCCTTCCAGAACAAGACATTTTGAGCTTTACAAGTGCATAATGTGAGTTGAAAATCCTCATTACTGTGACAAAGAATTTAGTTGTACGTATGTTCACATTATTGCCAGCTATTGGTGTTGAAATGCACATTTGCAGGACAACATTCAATGTTACAGAAGGTTTTCTGCCAGGGCTATGCTGAACTTTTTATCTAGAAGGTTTACAGATAGGGAATTAGTTCTATTCTTTTACCTTCATTTGGGAGAACTGTGTTCTAAAGTGAGACATAGATAAGTTGTTCAGTGGCAATCTTATCACACACACAGAGGATTATTGGGCACTCTTAAAGAATTTGATCTAGCTTCAGAATTCCCCATCACTCTATGCCCCGCTCCCCCAAAATGGCATGACAAAAGTAATTTCACACATTCAGGCTAATGTAATCTGAACGTGTGAATATTGCATACGAACCAAAAAACGAAAGTAAAATGATTTGCCTTTGCCAAAATCATTCTTTCACTTGACGAATCTGAATTTTGTGTTTCAAAAGTTGGCAGCAATGTTGTTATGAAACTGGAATGTGATTTGTGTTCGTGGTTTGTTATCCAGCAGACTACGAGCTTCCCCATTGAATCTTTGGTGTTGTTTTTGTGATTGCAGGCAACAGTGGCAGCATTTGCAGCGAGCGAAGGCCACGCGCACCCTCGGGTTGTGGAACTGCCCAAGACCGACGAGGGGCTTGGCTTCAACGTGATGGGGGGCAAGGAACAGAATTCGCCCATCTACATATCGCGTATCATCCCAGGGGGTGTGGCTGACCGTCATGGGGCCCTCAAGCGCGGTGATCAGCTGCTCTCGGTCAACGGTGTGGTGAGTGTCTCTCCTCTCGGGCCTTCAGCAAAAGCGTCAGCTTGGGCTAGTTGGTGGGTAATTCGACGAGAGATCGACACGGGTCGAAAAGTTCATAGTTTAGATTTGATTGTTTATTTTATATCTTGTGCACATACCACCCAACAGCACGAAAGTGAACTTCGTTTTTTTATTAACTGCATAGTTTAGGAGAGAAAAAAAATATTGAACTTTTTTTGTACAGAGGGACTGGTTTCGTCTATCGTCATTTTCTAAAGTGAACAACAATATAAAAACAAATATTAGCTGAATGAAGACAATCTTTTTTTTAATAAATGTGATCGCAATGAAGAGTAAAGCAGCATTTTGAAGCTTGTGGGCTGAAGCAAACTGTTTGTGAAAAATGTCCGAACAGGTGACAATGTTTATAAGTTGCTTGATTTTAGATTTTTTTCTTCCAAGCTAAAACAGCTAGTGTTTCATAACTTGGTGACCTATTACAATATAATGTTTACAATATCACCTGTTAATACTGTTGCTGTACCTCAAACACATATTATAAATGGCCTCAGTCTTTCAAATTCCTCAACAGTAAAGCCTAATGAAAAATTAATATTTAAAAAACTCAATCTTCGATTTTTCTTAAAATCTCGTAAAACGTTCCTCACAGATGATAAAAAAAGAATACTAAAAACATGTTGCTTTATTTTATTTGCAGTGACAATATTACGGGGGGGAAGTCCCAGCTTTTCGAGCATGCACTTAGATGATAAACGCATGAGAAATCGGGCTAAAAAAAAAAAAAGTGGAATTTGAGATTCTGAGTTGTTTGAACAGGACCATACTTACAGAGCAAAAGCAGATTTGGTAAATGTCAATACCTCAATTTGCCGTTTCAAGCCGAGGCTTGAGAGCCCCAACTTATTGGCATCTCGGTTACTGACGCTCTCGCATGAGGCAGCTATTACAGTCATCTACTCTTAATGTTTTGGTTCAGTACACTTAAATGGTAATAAGCTCGCGAGAGGAACCACCGAAGCATAACGAATATCGAAATTTAGTAACACTGCTGTTGCCTCCTTAACCTGAATACGGTTTAGCGTTTCCTTCCCCGATCTTCTGCTCAACAATTTCATGCGCGCCCCCTCTTGTAGGCAATCTATGGTATGATAGGCTTCGAACAATAGGAAACGGTAAGAAATTTGTAATTTTTGTGGAACATAATTTAGTAAAGCCTAGCAAAGCATGAAACTTTACTCTCCCACCTAAAAGCGGCAAGCTTGGAAGTGATTAAGCTGGCATCTGAAATGATGGTGTAGAAGACTGTATGGCTGAAGAATGTCAAAATGCTCTATGCAAATGGAAATTACCTAGATACCATTGATTACTTTAAGATTGTTTTAGTGCATATTTTTGCCATGTGTTGCAGGCCTGTTTTCAGTGCATTTGGTCAACCTTACCTAACGATACAAATTATGGTCGTGCTTTGTTAGTGTCAAGCACTGCTGTAAGTCATCTAGAAAAAATGCTGCATTTTGAGCACACCATGGCTTTTGTTGAATGCATTCCTCAGCTTAAGAGGGGATAGGGGAGGGGGTAATTCCAAGTGTTCATGTACGTTCTTCTATGGTCCTATGCTGGTGTTAGAACATTTCAGTTCATCGCCTTGTCTGCAGATATGTACGGATTGCCTTAGAGTGTGTCATCGTGTATTGCTCATCCGGCATTAAAGCTGAGCAAAGCGCACCAAGAATGCGCCTTTACAGAAATTTATTCCTCAGTATGCCAAATCTGCTTCTACTCTGTAAGTATGGTCCTGTTCAAATGATTCAGAAGCTCAATCCTACTTTTTTTTTTGGCCCGACTTCTCATGCGTTTATCACCTAAGTGCATGCTTGAAAAGCTGGAACTTCCACCCGTAATATTGTCATTGCAAATAAAATAATGCAATATGTTCTTCAACATTCTTTTTCTATCACCTGTGAGGAACATTTTGTGAGATTTTAAGAAAAATCGAAGGTGGGATTTTTTATGTATTGATTTTTCAATAGGCTTTACTATCGACGAGTTTAAAAGTCTGAGGCCATTTATAAAATTATGCGTTTGAGGTACAGCAACAGTATTGACAGGCAATATCGTAAACATTATGTTGTAATAAGTCACTAAGTTACGAAACACTAGCTGTTTTAGCTTAGGAGGGAAAAAAGTCTCAAATCGAGCAACTTTTAAAATATGTCACCTGTTCAGACATTTTTCAGAAACAGTTTGCTTCAGCCCACAAGCTTCAGAAATGCTGCTTCACTCTTCATTGCGATCACATTTACTAGAAAAAAGATTGTCTTCATTAAGATAATATTTGTGTTTTTATGTTGTCGTTCACTTTGGAAAATGATTTGTTATGGGAGTTTATTAAGGTGTACAGTGATTCCAACGATTGCAGCAACAGCAGGCAAGGCGTAACCAGGGAGCAAACTGTCCGAGCGAATCAGCCGATGGCGATGCACTTCTGTACGAGTCTATCTTCTACCTCACAACCACCTCCGGTATTGAGAGGTAGTCATCCTGGCTACCTAGAGAGAGAAAATAGGATCATAATGCGGCTTGGGAAGCTTAATATGGACTGTAACGCCCCCGACGACTGAAGGTCGGAAGATGCCGCAATGAGTTCTACCACATAATTAACAGGAGAGGTCTGCACAAAATGCAGTCGAGTCCGTGGCACTTCGGTAGAAGGTTGGACTGAGCTGAAGGAATACTGAACAAAAAATAGGGAGAAATGACAGAAACATTGAAATTTCACTTTGACGAGACAACTTCATTAATAAGCAGACTTTATTTCTCCTAATTCTGAACCACTGTTTAATAAGCTGAAGCCTGCCTATTATATAATGCATTTGTTGTTGTTTTCCGCAATCTATATCTCAACCTCACTTCTTATGTTTTTTTTTTCTTTCTTCGCATGCACAGAGTGTGGAAGGCGAGAACCACGAGAAGGCAGTGGAGCTCCTGAAGGCAGCCCAGGGTACGGTCAAGCTCGTTGTTCGCTACACCCCCAAAGTACTGGAGGAGATGGAGATGCGGTTCGACAAGCAGCGTGCCACTCGCCGTCGGGTAAATGCCTCTTGAACATCTTCGGACGACCTGTGTAGACACGACGGTGCTGCATTTTAACCTACTCACCCATTCCTGCGCGTAACATTTTTGTCCTCTTCAGGAAGTGGTTCCTTAACATTATGACATCTCAGGCAGTGTACAAGATGTCATTTTCTATAACTTGGGATCGTATAAACATTGCATCTACCTGCAGAACTCGGTGTCGGAAACATAGACAAATATGTACAGTCGTACTCCTTATCAGAGATACTGATGTGAGAGACAATCGGTTATAAGAGTATGCCTAGATTGAAATAGGTGTTGATTAGAAAACGGATACGTGGTACTCTCCTTGTAAGAGACACTTCATAAAAAAAAGAAAGATTGCAATCCTGGGCGTGCCTCTTATAAAGGGTTTTAACTGTACACAATTTCTTGCTGCCAGGATACCATTACTTTTATTAGTGGCCTCAGTGTGTTGTTACATAAAAAATATTAAGTATAGAAAGTGTAGCTGTTCTAAAAAAGAAAGCTAGATTGAGGTCTTAACTGTGGACAGTTCAGAATACTAGTTGCTTATTATTAGTTTATACAATAATAAAAATATAACTCAAATGATATTCCGATGGAGGCGGAAATGTTGTAGGCCCGTGTGCTCAGATTTAGGTGCACGTTAAAGAACCCCAGGTGGTCTAAATTTCCGGAGCCCTCCACTACGGCGTCTCTCATAATCATATAGTGGTTTTGGGACGTTGAACCCCACATATCTATCAATCAACTCAAATGATAAATTCTTTAACTTGCATTAATGTAATTTCTGTGGCTGAAAATAAAGGAGTTCGGGTTTTAATTTGTTTTGTGTTAATGTGTTTAGGTGTTACACAGTTGTGGCTGTGCATTGCCTCACATCCATCATTTTACTTATGTCTGAGTACCTTTTACTCACTTATCTACAATGCGTATTGTTGTGATTCTTTCATTGACCATTTGTGAGAGAAGATGGGGCTAACGCACGCTGCTTGCAGATTCACAAACAGGTGCTCACTTTCCCATGTGAAACGGAACACTCTCTTTAACCTCTGTTTTCTGACCTGCAAGCACTTATTCCTGCCCCTCCTTTGTGTTTCGTTTGCCTACCCATCCCATTCGTTGCACTGTGACCTACTGTGGAGCACTGGTGAGACTGAAACGATGAGACGATTCGATAAATTGCCACATTCTATCGGTTTTCACTTGCGAGAGAATTTATGTGCCACCATTGTCGAGGAACTAGGTTGCAGTCTCAGCAACATTTGTTCTTTGCTGCAATTGGTGTATGTCGACTCAATGTTCCCTGGAAGGGCGAGACAGGAAAAGCTGTACACACGTGCTCTGCCTTTCTGTTACTGTGCCTAGATTTGGTACTCGTAGCTTCAGGCCAGTCCGTAATTGGTTCATGCTATTCCGTGCTATCAAAGCACAATAGAAGCATGGCATATTAAGGAAGAGCACCAGTGCAGTTTACGGATGTCGCGTCAGCTCGCCTTCGAAGTTATTGCTTATGGCTTTACCGTGCAAGCTGGCACTCACTGTCATGCTTCTTGTTTAGAGGCTTCAGTAACTGGCTTTGAAGAAGCAGTGCGAATTTCATTTCTCCATTCTGCGCTCTTCTCTTCAAAGGGCATAATATTTCTTATGCTGAAGATGTCAGGTAATGTTGAAGTTAAGTGTATGTGTGTTGTGTTTGTGGGCTCCTTTAGCGGTCACCTTGACTAGGAGTTGCTGTTCTAATCAATCAATTAATGCTCATGATGCAAAGGTATGTACCAGTGAAATGCAATATTAAATGCTTCTAATCACAACAAAGCTGTGGATGGCTGTGCAAGATTACCAGGCAAAGACACTATTGGTATACAGGTTTTGAACTCTGTTCATAGTTATGTCCATTTGCTAGCAATCATGTAGATCACTGACTTGCAGACAACTAATTTGGCTCGCTAACATCTACATGCTTCTATGTTTTGGTGTTCATAGATACATTAAAAACCTTGCATGTGTACATTGTGTCAGTATTAAAAAAAATAAGTACTTGTCTTGAAAGTTGGTAATATTTCTTTATAGCTGCCATGAAATTAATGAAGAGTTCTCTGGAAGGGATTCTCCAATCTGAGGATTCGCCAAGACTAGGTATCAAGATGATTGTAAGTGAGAGCTCCCAGCTTATGAATATCAATAATTTGATGTTTTAACACTGATTAGCATGTTTTATTTTGTGTTAGCACAAGTTGTACCTGCAAGTAAGTTATTTTCTGAATAAAGTAGACTCACGATAGTTCAAACTTTTATAATTCATACTTTCAGTTAATTCAAAGAAAATTAATTTTTTTCGTTGGCTCTCTATTCTTTCAATGTATTTAAAAGCCTCTTGATTCAAACTACATAATTCGGCTAATTCATACTTTTTGCAGTTTCATACCAGAAAATATCAGCTGCTTTTCCACTATTACTTAAAATTTGCATGCTTGCATAATCCTAACAGCCTAAAATTGAAAAATAAGTGCCTCAGGCCTTTAAGGAAAATGGCTTTGATAGTAAACAAACGTTTGAAACAAAGCACCCGCATGGTAAACCATGATGCTTCTCACTGGTATTGAGGGCTTTGTGCTGAAGGCACATATAACAAAGAAGCAGTTGGCAGTTATCGATTTCTTTGAAAGGTCTGATCAGCAGTAAATGGCCGATAAACTTGTGGACCTTACACCTCTGCTTTCTGTTCATTGTGTGCAGTTATGGTTTAAAAATGCTTTAAAAAATTTTAAATCTGATGAAATGAATGCCTAATCACTATGTGTGGTGTCACCTCACCCACAGTCATATATCTGAGAAATTCTGATAATTCAAACTTATTGATAATTCAAACAAAATTTAGAGGTCCCTTCGAGTTTGAATCAACGATAGTCGACTGTAGCTTTCTGGTTCTTGCTAATAATTAATTATCTTCTGCAAATCTGCATGATCATTGTTTTTGTTTTGTTAGAGCAAGTTTCTTTACAAGGCAATTTTGTGAAATGTTGTTTTTATGCCACACTTTCTCGCATATAACACGCAAAAGAAATGCAGGAAGTCGGGAGCTGAAGTTGAGGCGCAGGATATACGCGAGCATCTGTGTGAAAAGTGGCCTCGTGGGGATGCTTTGTAGGAATACAAGGAAGATGACAGTGACATCTGAAACTGAAAGTAGAGGAAAACAGGGCCTTGAAATTGATGACTGGAACAGAATAACGATAAAGCTTTTGCAATCTTCTACTATTGTTAAGGGATCACTTCTGTTGGGGTGTAAACTTGCACTGCTAAAATGTGAGGATAATATGTTTTTAAAAATTTCTGCCATTTGTGGATGTGTGTTATATGCGAGAAAACAGGATATTCACTTGCTGCTTACTCATGTTCTTGTAGCTGTGGTGCTGTGCACGCTCTTTTTTTGTACACGATGCTCTGATAATGTATGTGATTTCAATGATTTAAATTGTAATGTGGCATAAAGCATTGTTACTGGTGCTGTACAGTAAATTTTATTGTCTACCTAATTCGTGCTAGTGTGTATCTACATATATTAGATGCATTTACAATGAGGCTTTTCAAAGATGTTTATTGGGACCACATGCAGTGAAATTAATATATGGGAAGTGTTATACATTAGCAGTGTGGGATTTGGGACTCGACATCATTGTAACCATGAAGACACATTGTCAAAGACTGTGTAAGTGAGGTCCTACTATGCTAACAGTTAAGTTAGCTGCACAGAGTATTACGTGATCATAAATGCATAGTGCAATGAACAAGACATTCCAAAGCGGCTCACCATAACTTGTTTTGTTTTTAGTAAGTGTGCACAAAAATAATCAAGGTGTCTTGTCGCCTGGTTTGTGCATGATCCTGTGTTCTGTAACTTACGATAAAAGTGGCCGTGCTGTTTTTGTATCACTTACTGATTATTAAAAATGCATGTACAAATGTTGTGATGTCTGTGTAATTGATGCAGTGAATTGCCTCATGGGAGCATTGCACTGCAATATTTATGGCACTCGTTTTGGGAGGTTGAAGTGCACTACAATTGAAAGCATTGTGGTTATGCAGCTTCAGCAATTTAAGCGACATAAATTTATGCAGGACCATACGAAGCTTGCAGTTAATGAAGAGGAGGAAGCCATTGGGGGCATTATTTGTACTTATTAATTTAAGCGTGGCAACAATGAAATTAAAGGAAAATGTGTTAACATGAACGAAAAAGAAGACATCATTAGAAGGGCCAAAGCCCCAACCATCACATTACAAGTGCTACGGTCCACCAACTCGGCTACAATGGCAGTCATTCCTCCATCTAGCTTTTTTTTTGTTTTGTTTTAATATTTTTTATCCTCCCCCTCTCTTCCCGTATGTGCAGCATTGAAGTGTGATCTTCTTGTGAGCTGGACAATGACCGATAAGCCCTTGCGTGGTGCCCGAAGGCATCAAACCTGCGCTGTTGACACCCTTTCTGTGTATTATGCCTGCAGTTACTCTTCAGTATTTTGACAGACAAGGGGCTGCAGTTTGTGTAGCAGATCCTAATATAGCTCGCTGTTCACTTATAGACTACGTACTACCTTATGATAACTGTTTTGTTGCAGTTGAGGTTGCATAGCACACAATCTCGCGTGCTGGAGGCTAACCAACAAACCGTCATATAAACATTTGTTTGTATAAACAGCACCTGAGGCATCTAAACTGCCTAAACAAGGTGCTTGCTGTGAATTAGCGAAAGAAGGGGGACTGATCAAGGGCTCAATTATTTTTTTTTTAGACATTACTTAAGTGAAGCAAACAGGTGATAAAGCCAAAGAAGACATAAATGAGAATATTTTAGTTTTCAGCTGTAGTGTAGTGATTGCGACATGAGGGAAAGGAATTCAAGTGCATGAAGAATTAACATGCTGCAGGTATGGACCAACCTACAACTTTTAGATAATGCGTTTGACACTCTACCGGTGAGCTACAGTGGCGGTCGCTTTTCTCTTCACTTGCATGTTTCATGCTTCATTGTCGGCGGTTGTGTTTAGTTGTGTCTTAACACACACACACAAAGGAGTGTCCTAGATCAACCTTCCCCTCTCTTTCTATTCACTTGTAATATATAGCTTTCATCATGCACTTGGGGGTGTAGGAAAGTGACGATGACAAAGGTGAACAGTGCTGTACAAGTGCCAACTCAACCAAAAGAATTTTCTGTATTGATGTGTTGAAATATCTTGCCCACCACGATGACCGAGTGGTCATGGTGCTTGACTGCCGACTCGCAAAGTTGCGGGATCGAATCCTGGCTGCGGCGGCCACATTTTTGATGGAGGGGAACGTGCTTGAGGCCTGTGTACCGGGAACACCGTACTGAGGAGCCCTCTACTTCGGCATCCCTCGTAATCACGTTGTAGTTTAGGCACATTAAACCCCAATAATTAGTATGCCTCAATGATTTCCAAAGTGAATGTCTGGTGGATGTTGGCGCTTTTGTTCGGAGCTTTTGGTCCTGTAATTTTTGTGGTGATGCGCAAGTCGCGTTCATATCACCGAGCCCAGTGTCTCGTCTTGCACTGGTGCTTTTTATCGAGATGAGATAGTCGTGATGATTTACAGGGATACCTGTTTGCATCAGGGATACAGGGATACCTGTTTACAGGGGTACCTACAACTGTTTGTGTGTGTCACGTTAGTGCTGTTTAGGAACTTTTTTCCCGCGGATATTTGCGGCTTTCAAGGCAGCTTGGTAGATGCCGTCATCATCTTGTGGACTTGGAACATGTGAAAGTATTGAGGATTAAGCAGTGCTCCTGCGTGAGATGATGTGAGCATCATATTCTGGGATGTGATGTGAGCATCATCACTTTACTGCATCTTATTCAATGCTGTCGAATTATCACCCTTCTGCACTCACAGCGCTGTCCGCTTTAGTTTCTTGCAAACATCACTTAAAGAAGCATGAAAAATTTAATAAATGCACAATCCTGCAAGAAACGAAGTTGTACAAGATTGTGCAATGAAAGGTATAAGCAACGCAACAATGTAAGTGTAGCGTGTGATCTGTAAATCTGTGCAGATTGATTTATGTTATACCAATACTTTTAAATGATACTGTATCATTTACAGTTTATCAGTCACCTGCATTATTTGAAGTGGGATGCCAATGAATAGCAGTTTTGTACTTGTAACTCGTAATGGACCTAGGTATAAGTACCCTTCTGCTCATTCTAAAGATTGGTCGATAAGTTTCAGTGGTTGTTTTTCGCTAGTCTATGGAGTTTTGCGTGTGGCATTTTTCAGTTTTTACTAGGGTGAACATTTATTTTATTTTATTTACAAATACTGCTGGCCAGAGGCAAAGCAGGAGGGGCAAGATAATACAGTTGTCATACACATTTCAAAACAACATCAACAATAAAGAGAGAAAAAAGTGGAAAGCGTACATATTTATACAAAAGCAACAAAAGGAAAGAGTGGGGAGGGAAAAGAGGAAATAGTTGGAATAGTTAGAAAAACAACTTCAAATTTCAGCGTAAATAAGATCGGGAGAGTGTAAACTGCTTGCAGGCAAATCGTTCCACTCTTCAATGGTACGAGGAAAGAAGGAAAATTTGAACAAGTTAGTACGAGCAAAATATGGTGCTAAAGAAAGCGCGTGTGAATGCCGAGTCTGGCGTGTTCTTAGTGGTGTGAGGTAGGGGTCAGGGTTCAGAGCAAATTTGCGGTTAGAAAGTTGGTACAAAAATTTGAGACGTAAGAATCTGCATCTCGACTGCAAAGATGTCATACCATTTGAAAGCATTACACTAGTTACAGAACTACTAGGCTTGTAAAGAGAGTAAATGAAACGAACTGCCCTCCGCTGAATTTTTTCTAAGGCATAAATGTTAGTTTTAGTATAAGGATCCCATGCAACGCATGCATATTCTAATTTAGGGAGAATCAAAGATTGGTAAGCTACAAATTTCACTTTCGTAGGAGCATCCTTAAGTTTGTGCCTTAGCATGCATAATTTGTGGAAAGCTGCGGAAGAAACTTGTTTAATGTGGGAATTCCAACTTAAATTATTCGTTAGAGTGACACCAAGATACTTGTATTCCTTAACTTCTTTAAGAGGTTGGTTAGAGAGCGTGTAGTCAGTTAGTACTGGCTTTTTCTTGTTAGTGACACGGACCAGAACTGATTTATCCAAGTTTAGTTTCATCCCCCATTGATTGCACCATAGACATATATTGTTTAGAGTGGACTGGAGAGCTGCTTGGTCATTAGAACTAGTTATCGAGTTAAACAGAATACAATCATCTGCAAAAAGTCTAACGTTAACAGGTGGGTTTACACAATTTACTACATCATTACAGTATATCAAAAATAGTAGGGGACCGAGTACACTGCCCTGTGGGACACCTGAAGTAACCGGCAGAAGAATTGAGTTCTGATTATTAATGCACACAAACTGGGAGCGATCAGACAGGTAGTTACAAATCCAGGCTAATAGAAAATTTGGAAGTCCAATAAGCTGTAATTTAACCATAAGTTTATCATGGGGGATTCATTTGACATATGAAGTATTTTTTAATATTGCTTGCTATTCTATTCAATTCGCTCTGGAATTTCACTATTTGAACTTGCCAAAGACGAATACAGTCAATGTCCTATCAAAAAAGACCCCTTCAGATTTTTAGTATGCTTCACCTCATTGCATTTTTGTATGCGACAAAGCTATCTGTCACGCTCTGCGATGGTCGAATTTTTTAGGATATGAGGCCAAGTGACGGAATTGTTTTTAAAAAAGCAATGAATCAATAGAGGTTATTAGTCTGCAATAATTTTTATTTTTCATAATTAAAATTTTCATTAAAAGTATGCCTTGCATGAACAATTATAAATTCCACTCGTTAAAAAAATTTATTTTCGTCAAGTACGTGAGGAAAGCTTTGGCTTGTGCAATGAACCAAAACAAATAAGGTGTGATGAATATTGAAAACATAGTAATTCAATAACCAAAAATGTATGCACTAGCACTAGGGGCACCTTCGTATAACAGGCAGCCATGTTAAATCTTGGGGCACGATTTTGCTTATCAAGATTTATTACATGCCTACTAATGTGATAAGTGTGCCAAGCCTTAATGAAAAATTTTTATTAGCACAATATTGATAAAGAGCTCGCTTCACAGAAATTCCGGCATTGGCATTGTTGGTTGTGAACAAAAAATAATCTTTTTGTGACCAAAAAATTGAGAAAGATGCAAATAAAATAAATAAAAAATCCTGGGTCAAAGTGGGGATGGATCGAACCAAGGTCGTTTCCATAGCAAACGGGCGTTCTATCGCAAAGCCACACCTCTGATTGTGCATACAGTGAAAATAACTTCATCTGCTTGGAAATACAGTTAAAATAACTTTCATGCTTTACAGGCACACAGGTCCTGTATACATGCTTCACAATACATGAAATATTGCCTTAACAATGCGTGGTACAAGCATGCATTGCTATCCTGCTTCAGAACATGGGATTATCATAATGACTTCATAGTTTAAAGCCAGTCTACCCACTACAAAAGGCACACACGCTACTGCACCTTTAAGGCCACGTAGTAGACGCATAGCAAGTTGGAAAAGGTTTCATACACTAAGTGTTAGAAGTATGTTCTAGGAACAAAATATTGCTGTCACATTCAACTCTTAAAGGGACACTAAAGTCTAATAAGAATTTATGTCAGAGTGAAAGCTCAATGTATGGCAACATATAAAACAACAATACTATCAACAACAGTGTCCTACTTGCCGAGAAATTAAGGTAAATGCTGAAGAACACATGCGTTGCAGTAGGACATTTTCAAAATGATCCCGATGACATCAGACGGGCCGCCTACAAGTAATCACTAGTACTCTATCTAGCTGCACTAAATAAAGAACCTTCTGTGCATCAAGAGATGCAATGAAATGCTGCTTGTTCGTTTC